GATAGAATTAAAAATATCACATAATCTAAATTCAACAATTGATAGAAATAATATTAAAATTAAAAAACCATGGGCTAACACTCTAAAAATGGAAGTTTTTACCTTCTTTTTACTAGAAGCTGAAAAAATTTACAAGAATGAATTATTTTTGAAATCAAACGATATGGAACTTTTTCATTTTTTATCTTGTGGTCCATTAATAATCGAAAGTGCTAGAGAACAAATTAAAAAGAATCTAAAAGAAATACAAGATTTAATCTTGGTTAAAAAATTTGTACCATTTCCTTCGAGACCTCATGAAACTTTTATTATAGAAGAATACCCATCACGAGATGGTTATGAAAACATTCGTCAATTAAATGTTATTACCCATGCTATTATATTATATAACGATCTTGTAAATTTATTGGTTATAATGTAGTTGAAGATGTGAATAGTTTAATGTTTCAAGCGGTGATGATAATGTTATTTCCGCCTCAAGGATCAAGACCCGAACCATCGATTCAAGAAATAACAAAAGATTTAAAATCGTACATAAATCTTGGATTTCAACTAGATGAAAAAATAATTTTTGAAATTTTGAAATTGTTTCACCAAAGATTAAATAAAGTTGGGAAAAAGATAGTAGAATCTATATGTAATATTAAACAAGAAAACAAGGTTGAATTTTTAAGAAAATATTATGTGAAAACATTCAATCCTGACTCACATCTTTTAATTGAAGAAATTACGAATATTCAAAAATTTATTGCAGAATCATTTTCGGAAAATCATCTTGAAGAACATTATCGAGTGTATACAACAGCGATAATTCAATATAATCTAAAATTTCTATTATAAATATGTTACAAAATTAATTTATATGTTTGTTTATAAGATTTATTTATTAAGAATATACAAGTTTATTAAGAAATATGTATTCAATAAGATTTTATTTTATTATTAATAAATTTCATGTTTATAAAAATATAAATATCCAATAATTTTATTAATTTTTTTTTTTAATAGATAACAAAATAAAGAAAGTTTTAATTTCTCTAATATATTGTAATTTGTTTAAATATTATTTCTTTTATACTCCATATAATGAAAAAACCAAAATGATAACAATCAATTGTAGTGAAAATACCAAAAAACAAATTTTATCCCAAGACGAAAAACATCTTTTGAATGATATTTTAAAAGAAACGGTTAGCAACTTTAAAAAAGAATATGAAGAAAGTGAAGAAATTATCAAAGAAAATGAACATCTTTTAAATAAAATTAGAAATAGTATTTTCAAAACAGAATACAAAAATGATTTCTATGAAAAATTAGATGAGATATTCAATTCCAATGTAATTAATTAATCTGTTATAAATTACTTAAACAAATCATTAATTCTAGTTTTTAACTTATTGTCATATGTTTTGGCTTCATTAAAGATGATTTTAATTGTATTTTTTTTTTAACAAATTCGATAATTCTTCATATAAAATGTTTTGTATATTGTTTTTTTTATTAAAATTTTTAAACTTATCATTATTCCATAAAGAACAGATATTCTTGTTACTGGTAAAAATATTTAACGGTTTGTCAAAAATACTAAAGCATAAATCTGTGATTCTTGAATAGAATAATCTTCATTCACAACTTTGAAAATACTTCTATCTGGATATAAAGGACAATAAATTCCTATTCCAAGTATCTCGTCTTTTTTTTTAATTTTTGTAAATATGCAAATATCTTCATTATTTGTAGAATCATCTAAATAAAGAAATAAGGCATCATATTTTATGTGCCGGTTCCCATATGTAAGAGTTAATATTTATCATTAGCAATAAAAAATATTGAATAATAAAATCACTCTTACCACATATCACAAGATTCTTTCGTGAAAAACATTTTTTTCCTTCTTTCAGTTCAACATTGGTGGCACCGGTAAGGATTTCTGTTAAAGCAACACCATTCTCATTTACCACAATCTCATTCTTGAGATACCACTTGTGTTTTTTGATCAAAATTAAATCATCCTTGTCAACAGTAATATTATAATTTGTCGGTTTATCATGTTTATCAAACAATGCGATTTGATAGAGATGGGTAATACAACCAAAATGACTACTAGTTATAGGTCTTCCAGGATTCATGCAAACTTTGTTATAAATATTTTTTGAATTATTAATTGATAACAAATAGTTAAATATATTCGTTAAACTAGACTAACAAATCCAAAACGTCAATACAAAGCATGGGAGCGATAGCGACCAAATGCTGCGTATACGATGGCATTTCCCAATTTTTTTAAAGCAGTCCACTGCTAAAGAAATAGGTGGAGCATGAAAGTGTTCGGTCTCCTATTTTAAACAGCGTTTAATACAATGCATTAAACATTGTTTAAATCTAAAACAACAAAATTTCATAATAATACACAAGTATTGAATTAATAAAAATAATATAATTATTACAATATAAATATGATAATTTTAATTTTTCTTTAAAGTATAACATTTCCTTAATCTTTTTTATTAAGAAAATGAATTTGGAACCTGGTAGATTTTTGTGGAGAAACGAAGTTATTACTGAAAAAGAATATTATTCAAAATTACTTCTAGTTAATTTTCCTGATTTATCAAAAAATGAATCGTCTTGTTAATATTTATGATGAAAATAACAAAAAGAGAAAAAGAAGACAGCTTGATCCTGAATTGAGAAAAGTTTATTCTAATCTCCATATTTTAAGCGAGTATGAAAAAATTAAATATCATAGGGTTGAGCATATACATAAAGAACATTTAAAAGATTGGCATAGATATGATAATGGACGTGAATCATTTTTAAAAAAGGCTGAAGGAAAATTAATAATACTAAACTCTTTCCGGTACATCACCAGAAAATTCGTTCCAAACAAAATTTTGACAAAAAACTCTCCCCTTTTCTCAAAAGAACCAGGGCCTTAGTGCCCGCGAAAAGAAAATACTTCGTGACAAACATGGGCAAACAACAAAACAAGAAACT